ATATCGTATGTATGATAAGGATTTTGAGCCACGAACAATTCTTTCAGCTCGAAGACTATTTCAACAATTTGTAGTTGATGCTTATACAATGGTTGAAGCATCGAGATTGCGATATATTCGCTTTAATCAGAAAAAGCTTCATTGTGAGATGTATAAGGGTCTGGCTGATGCTGTGCTGTGTGGCAATACCGATCCTAGCTCTCGAGGAAAGCGTATTATTCTCCCTTCTACATTCATTGGTGGTCCTAGGAATATGATTCAAAATTACCAAGATGCAATGGCAATTTGTAGGTGGCAGGATATCCTGATTTGTTTGTTACATTTACCTGCAATCCAAACTGGCCGGAGATTATTCGTTTTCTTGAGCCGAGGAAATTGCGTCCTGAGGATCGACCAGATATCGTTTGCAGGGTATTTAGGGAAAAACTTAAGCGAATGATAAAGGATTTTCGTGAGAAACAAATCTTTGGGAAGGTTACTGCAGGTGAAACACTTACTTTAAATTTTAATTTGTATATTAATATCATAATTTATTCTTTATTAAAAAAAATCCAATACGATTATTTAGTAACCATATTTATCAATTTCTATTGTTTATTTTTTTCAGTTGTCTACACCATTGAATTCCAAAAGCGTGGACTGCCACATGCCCACATACTGCTTTTCTTTGACAAGGAGAATAAGTTTCCCGACCCATCTGACATTGATAGGATAATATCTGCTGAGATACAGGATGAGATGTCCGATCCTATGTATTATCAAGCAGTCAAGTAACATATGATGCACGGACCGTGTGGTGCTGCAAGAAAAAACTCACCGTGCATGGTAAACGGCAAATGCAGCAAACGATTTCTAAAAAAATTTGTCGATGCCACCTGTGTGGATGAGGATGGGTATCCACGGTACAGGCGTCGAGAAGATGGTAAATATATTGAAAAGAATGGTGTCTTCCTCAATAATGGTTATGTTGTGCCCCATCATCGTCGTTTGCTCATGAAATATGGCACGCATGTTAACATTGAGTGGTGCAATCAATCACGATTTATAAAGTACTTATTCAAGTATGTTAACAAAGGAAATGATCGTGTAACTGCATCATTCTATCAAACTTCTGCTGATGGAGATGTTGAAAAGCCACTGGATGAGATCAACATGTACTATGATTGTCGTTATGTATCTTCTTGTGAGGCTGCTTGGAGATTGCTGGGTTTTGAGCTGCAGTATAAGAGGCCTACAGTACAACTTTTAAGTTTTCATCTTAAAGATCAGCAGAACATAATTTTTGAAGATGATGATGATTTGGAGGATGTTTTGAATAAACCAACTGTGAATAAAAGCCAATTTCTAGCTTGGTTTGAGGCGAATAAGAAGTACCCAACGGCCAGGGAGCTAACTTATGTGGAGTCAACGTCGAAATTTGTTTGGAACACAAAAACTAGAGAGTGGACCCCTCGAATAAGAGATGGAACAATAGCCCGTCTACACCACGTGAATCCTCGTTTTGGTGATAATTACTATTTGAGGTGTTTGCTAAATGTTGTTCGCGGTGCTACATGCCACGAGGACTACATGAAAGTAGGCGATGTCCAGTATCAAAATTATAGAGATGCCTGCTACGAACATGGATTGTTAGATGATGATAGAGAGTATATAGACGGTATAACAGAAGCAAGTCATTGGGCATCTACAGAGTCACTTAGGCGTATGTTTGCGTCATTTTTTATTTCTGGCTCTTTGAGTAGACCTGATGACGTATGGCAACAATGTTGGATATTATTATCTGACGACATTCTATACAGACAGCGATGATTGTTCAATAACGATGGTAATTGTGCTTTTTATATCATTCAATATATATAGATTATTTTTTTGTACATAACAAATACAAACTATCAATTATTACATTGTGTAACCATTGCTTCTCTAAATTATTGAATTTTTTGACTTCCAGATTTTCGGCTCAGTGAAGATGCTATAAAGAAACTCACCCTTGCTGAAATTGAGACTCTTATGCGAATTCGCGGCTCAAGTCTTCATGAATATTCATCCATGCCTTATCCGGACAGTGGTAGTATGCATAACACTTCAAACTTCCTTCTATTGGATGAGCTTAATTATGATCGTAGCGCGCTTTCTGTGGAACACGAAGCACTTCTTGGGAGAATGAACGATGAACAGAAAGGAGTTTATTCAAGAATTATGTCTGCTGTTGATTCAGGTGTGGTGGAGTATTTTTTGTATACGGTTATAGAGGTACTGGAAAGACATACTTGTGGAGAACTTTGTCTGCGGCATTGCGGTCGAAGGGTAAAATCGATTAAATGTGGCATCGAGTGGAATTGCATCGCTTTTGTTACCTGGCAGAAGAACTGCACATTCTCGATTTCGAATACCAATTAGTCTTCATGAAAATTCTTCTTGTGATATTAATCAGGCAAGTCCTCTTGCAGAGCTGATAGTGAAATGCTCTCTAATCATATGGGACGGGGCGCCAATGATGCACAAAAATTGCTTTGAGGCAGTTCAAACATCGCTGCAAGGTATAATGGGAGTATTAGACCCTTCGAATAAAAGCAAGCCCTTCGGAGGCAAGCCGATTGTCTTTGGTGGAGATTTTCGACAAATCCTTCCAGTCATTTCAAAGGGGAGTCGCCAGGACATTGTCAATGCATCAATTAATGCATCCAGCATTTGGAAGGACTGTACTGTGCTCCGGCTTACGAAAAACATGCGTCTTCAGAGCATTTCTGATTCGGATGAGTGTGACGAGGTGGCTGCATTTGCGGATTGGATTGCGAGTATTGGAGATGGTACTATAGGAGGATCAAATGATGGTTGTGCCGCGATCAAAATTCCAGATGGTATAAGACTTGATCCATCTGATGATCCAATTGCTACGATTGTAGAGTACCTATCCAATGTTCAAGAACGCAACTAACGATCCGAGTTATTTGAAGGATAGGGTTATATTAGCTCCCACATTGGAAGTTGTTGAGTCCATCAATCAATACATGTCCGATATGAATTCTTCTGAAGGTCGTACGTACTTGAGCTCTGACAGTACTTCTAAGTCGGATTCTGACAATGATTTCCTGGCAGATCTCCACACGCCAGAATTCTTGAATAGCATCAAGTGTTCTGGAACTCCCAATCATAAGTTGCACCTGAAGGTAGGAACTCTAGTAATATTGTTGTGCAATATGGACCATTCTATGGGACTGTGCAATGGGACGCGATTGGTTGTGACTAAACTCTGTACTGATGTTCTCGAATGCAAGATATTGACGGGAGATCACGCTGGAGAGAATGTGTTGATTCCTAGAATGAATATCACTCCATCTGATACTAGGATTCCATTTAAGTTCCAGCGGCGACAGTTTCCACTTGTGATTTCGTATGCCATGACCATAAATAAGAGTCAAGGACAGTCTTTATCGCACGTTGATCTGTTCCTAAAGAAATCAGTTGTTAGTCACGACCAATTATATGTTGCTGTTTCACGTGTAACTACTAGAAGAGGGTTGAAGATATTAGTTTGTGATAATGAGGAGTTACCAAATAAACAAACTCATAATATTGTGTACAATGAGGTTTTTAATAATATATGATTGTTTCGTGACGAAACAATCCTTTTTTTTGTAATAATATTCTTACGTATTATAATTATTTCGGTCCTAATTCATGTCATATTTTATTATTCTCCAAAATTTTACATTCCGTGCAACGCATGGGTTTTGCACTAGTATAAGTTATAGGCTTTATCCATGTGATAAAATAGGTTGATTTATATTATAATCAAGAAAATAATTAACATTTATGCCTTTCATTTGGATATGAATTAGCTAACTCAAACAACAGACTTTTTTTCTTTCACTTTCATTAGCCAAATTATTCTATTTGCAATAGCTATTCAACCG